CTGCCACACGTGTACAATTATGAGGTGTGCAGGACGACTGACTCCAGAAAGAGTGACAATAAGTTCGGAATAGCTGGTAGTCAGAACATGTTGATAATGGATTCCAGTTCTACAGGGACAATGCAGCGGATGCAAAGTGAGAAGAGCATCCTGGATGAACCCGACTCTCCTCTTGAGGTTAGCATTCAGTGACCTAAAAATAATCTTTTTAAATATACATGTTCTTAGAAATTTTTCTCCCAGTTTCATTTATCTTTAAAAACAGAATTTTTATCATTTCAAAACCTTTTGCACCAACTATTTCCTTCAGCACCTTGGAGAGCAACATTATCATATTTTCTATTAGCCATACAATGTGATAAAGACTTTATTTTCTTCGTTTTAATTCTTACTTATGCACTTTATATAAACTAGTTTTGCAGTTGATTATTTAGTCGTAGTTCTTCGTTTCTCTATTTTTTTCTTACTTTTTTACTTTGCATAATACATGTCATGCAGTTTTCTTGTTTTGACTCAGTGGGCCGCTGTTGTCTGCTCCGTCGCAGTTACAATATTTAAAACGCAGCACCTCCTCTCCGCTTAGATGTATAAGATTGAAGGGGACGGCGTTGACCGCTTTGTCTTCATTTGGGATTTTTTTAACACTACAACGACGGCAGGATATCTATTTCCCACATCATTCTGAGGATTGTTTATCTGTTTTTTCTTCTTTCGTTGAAGCGGACGATCAGGAGGGTGCACTGTTCTTTTACCGATATTTTCCTTACACAATGAGACGGCAAGTCCTGTTGTTTCTATCCATTCTCCTTCTTAGAGCAGTAATCAGTCAAGTCAGCTATTCCATTCCGGAAGAAATGGCGAAAGGTTCGTTGGTTGGTAACGTAGCTCAGGATTTGGGCTTGGATGTTAAACGACTGAGGTTAGGAAACGGCCGTGTTTATTCTGGTGATAGCAGCGATTACGTTGAGCTGAATGCTGAGAGAGGAGTTCTCCTCGTCAAAGAAAGAATAGACAGAGAGGCGCTATGCGGTGACACAACGCCATGCGCTCTGCATTTTCAGATTGTGCTGGAAAATCCCATGGAATTTTACAGCGTAACTGTTGAAATTACAGATATCAACGACAATGCTCCGACTTTTGAAAAAACTGAAATCAAATTCATGATTAGCGAGACTGCAGCTATTGGAGCAACATTTGACTTAGAGAGAGCCGTGGATTTGGATGTTGGCATTAACACCCTCCAAACATACGTCCTTAAACCCACTGTTTATTTTGTGCTGAAATTACAGAATCAGGCTGACGGTACAAAGAATGTAGAAATGGTATTACAGAAACCTCTAGACAGGGAAAAAAATGAGTTCATTTCATTGGTATTAACAGCTGTTGATGGAGGAGAGCCGCAGATGACTGGAACAATGCAGATTCTCATTACAGTGTTAGACGCGAATGATAATGCGCCTGTTTTTACGCAGCCAGTATACAAGGCGACTGTTAGTGAAAATTCTGCAAAGGGCACCGTTGTGACCGCTGTTAGTGCCTCAGATGCTGATCAGGGTTTGAATAGTAAGATCACATATTCCATAACAAGCACTATGGATGAAGTAAGGCAGATTTTTGAAGTAAACGAAGAAAATGGTGAAGTTACATTAATTGGGCGCTTGGATTATGAAAAGAAAAAGCTTTTTCAGATCAATGTTCGTGCAAGAGATAATGGAGGGCTAACTGATTCATGTAAAGTGATGGTTGATGTTGTAGACATAAATGATAATGAACCAGTCATTAAAATTATGTCAAAATCTACTGTAATATCTGAAAATGCGAATCCCAATACAGTTGTTACGATGATTAATATCCAGGATCCAGATGCAGGTAAAAATGGAAATGTTCAATGTTTTTTACATGAGGACATTCCCTTTGTTCTTAAATTAACCACAAATAATTTCTACAGTTTGGTGACAGAAGGTGAATTAGATAGAGAGCGAGCCTCTGAGTATAACATCACAGTGACCTGCTCTGATGAAGGAGTACC